TGGATATTCTCATTTCACGAGACGCGGCGTTTTTCAACGCCGAGCATACTCGATATATCCACCACGATTGCAAAATCGTTCTACATCGTTTCGCTTCGCGGGATACATAGCTCCCCACCTTTCCCTCCCCTCTCTCGACGTTCGTAAAAAAAGTTTAGATGGAGAGACGAGATAGGTCGAAAATTGGTAACGAGCGCGAGAGGAGGGGGGAGAGGGGGGACGATGGCGTGCACGCTCGTTCCGCTCGAGGATTCAGTTTGCGCGTTATGTTTCGTTATACCGAGTTACGAGTCGAACGTGACCGGACTGCGTCTTATGATACTTGGAATAAAGTCGCTCCTGTAAAGTCGAGGTCGTGGGACGTTTCGCTCGTGTTGGCCCCTTTTGCTTTCGACATCCGTGCGGTTCGGTTCCACGCGCCTCGTCCATCCTGCCCGACGGGTCCTACGACGGTATATTACCAATATAACCCTTCTTCCTTTCCTTTCCTTTCCTTTCTTTTCGCCTCTCGTGTGTTTCCAACGGTTGTTTCGAAAGAACGAGACGAGAGGATGGCCGGCCCGTGTGGAAACGGACTCGTTTCCAGTCCCGGAAGTCGTTCAATAAGGAACCAAGACATTTCCATAATTAGCCATTACGAAGTTCCTGCGTCACTCGAGTTTCGCCAACGTTCAAAACGGCCCTCGGCGAGGAACGATCGTAGGCGTAGCGATCGATTACCGCGAATATTATTGCCGCGCGCGCGATTCTCTTGGTCGAATGGGATAATCGATTCGGTTCTTCTGCCCGTTCTTCTAAGTACTTACGTCCAACTCGGAGGTTCGAGGCAGCTCGATAATAGTCGGTTATGTTAATATATTCGCGAGACAATTGTTTGAAAAGGGCAAAACAGGCAAAAATCGATTAAAATGTCGATTGAGGCTTGTTTAATTAAGTTGTAAGCGATTGAATTTATAGATGAAGCAATAAGAATCTTGTTCTGTCTAGAATTGTGATTATCGATTATCGATGTCTTATTTTTGATATTTTTTGATACATCGATAATATCGATACTACGTAAACTGTGATTAGTATCAATAATATTTTATTTTTTTCTTATTCAAAGTTGATATTCAAAGCACGAAAAAATGTTATTTATAATAAATTGCAATAAATATAAATAAGTTATATTGAAAGATTGAAATCTATTTCAGTAATCTCTATTCGTTTTATTGATATCTCAACGATATTTCAAATATAGTAGAAAACTCAATAAAATATCCGTTAATCCATACGTTAACATGTTTAATAACAATTTTGAATAAGAAAAAATTGGAACTCTAGTTATTTTCAATCGTTTCATCGATATTTTATCGATGTATCAAATTATCGGTAATATCAATAACATGTATATAACATGTATATGTATCGATAATCACAATTATATATCCCTGTTTCGTTTGATCGAACGAAAATTTAAATTACTTTTTAATAATAATTATTTAATAAATAATTATTACTTAATAAATATTAGTAACAAAATTTTTATATACTAATTGTTTTTAAAATCGATTTTTCAAAAATCTATAAAATATATATTTTAAAGATTAATAATCTATGTATCGTATCTGTGCGATGTGTGTATCGATCGAGCGTGTCTAGGAGAATGTAACAGGTAAGCACGGTTGTCGGATGTCGGCGTTTAACGTAACACAGAGCAGTCGCAAAAAACTACAGGAAGAACGTAAACTATCGAGAGTCAGGGTTATCTACCTTTTCGAGAGAAGTCGTTAGAGGTCGATGATCGAATTTTCTCGATTAAAGAACCTTTGGCGGATCGGAATGCGAAGCACGCGCACAAGCGTCTGCGTGCAATTGGAAGGCAGAAGGCTTTTTAACCAACGGACAACGAATTTATGAGGATCCGTCTCTCGCGTTCATTGAAACTTCCGGCGGTTGAGAAAAGGGGGAAGCGACCCTACGCTCTGCTTGCAGACAAGAGAATGCGCGTGTGTCCCGAGTGTAAGTATATATATATAGATATTTAAAGATTATAAAGCTAAATCTTTTTAGTCTCAACTTGTAATAAAATTGAATTGTTCTATCGATAATAATATAATAATGCAATAAAAAAATATAATAATCAAAATAAAAGCGGGACGAGACCTCTCTGTAACGTTGAACAAACGTCAACATTTTTTTGAACGTGGAACCAGAGAGAAAGTAAACCACGAAATAATGGTACATACATTGAACGGCCGAAACACCATTGTATATGTACTCCACAGTGAAAGATGGACTTCACTGGAAAATTGGGCCTGGAACTAGAAAAGTTTATAAACATTTTCTAGTTGTCAGGTTAGGTTAGGTTATCGACAGGTACATAACACTGTAGGGTGTACGTACCTAACTCGTAGCCCGCAATTGAAAGTATCACGTTGATCCGCGTATATATAGGAAATGTTAATCGTGCGACAACTAGCGAGAAACCATATAAGCGTCGAGGTGATGCGAATAAGAAGGTAGCCCTCTATTGAGAAATACCCGAAGTATCGAATCCCAATAACTCCGCCAGAATTCAGAATGTTCTTTGTATTTTATCGAACATAGACAAGTAGACGTGAAAGAATAAAGGAGTCGAAAGAAAATAAACATATCGTTTGTTTCGTGGTGAGTCAAGGGGAACATAAGTAAGTGCTGGCAGCCAAGCGTAACTGTGAATGTAATGTACAGAGTTCGGAGGAACGAGTTACGAGAAAGAGCTGTTCGACTGACCAGTGAACGAGCTACGATACGCACGATATGAAAACATGTCTCGATCGATTTACTAACAATCTAAGAAGCTATTTTCCAAATCGTTTCTATGTAAACGCCATTCGTTTGTTCTTTACTGCACGTAAAATGTACGCGAAGTGCAAATGAAATCGATGCTTTATTATCGAAACGGTAATCGATGTGTGACGCCCTTATGAATTTTGACGATTTTTAATTTATTGTTATAAAATAATTATCAACTTAAAAAATTATTACTATTGATATCATTAATATTAATATCATAAAATCGATAATGCATTAAAATAATTCTGAAATTTCTATTTTTTTCTTATTCAAAGTTATTATTACAAATGTTTTTAAAGATTATCTATTTTAACGATGTTTCATTGAATTTTCTATACTATATATTCAAAATAACGATTGAAATAAACTATTTATTCTTTTCTCTATTTCTTATACTTCATTTAAAAAACATCTTTATATACTTTAATAATAACTTTGAATAAGAAATAATAAAAACTCTAGTCATTTCTATCCGCTATCTTAACGATATCATTGATATATCAAAAAAAAAATGATATCAATAAAACAACGATAACATCGATAATCTATTATTATAGTTACTGTAACATAAAGCCCGCTTCAAATGTTCCGCGATGTATAATAAGTATCATTTTTAACAAATAAATAAATACCTTTAAGACGGTTGTATGTACGGAAACAAGTTGTTCAAATCTTGTTCCCTATACACACACACACACATACAAATCATCAAAATCCATGAGAGCGTCACGCATCGATAAGTCGATCGTCGAAAGGATCGTAGTTGTACGAAGTGGGCAGGGAGAAAGAAGGGAGGAGGAGATCGGTCAGTCGCTTTTCTCTCGACGTAGCATGAAATATCGATATCACTTTTTTTCTCTCTCTCTCTCTCTCTCTCTTTTCGCTGGGAACGTGGTTCTAGGAGGCGGAGCTCGGCTGTTCCATTAAGAGGCGGATGAATCGATTTCATCGAATACGCGGTATATATCCCGCGCCTAATGAACGAAACTATGGTCGGCTCGCTCGAATCGAAAGCGGAGGAAAGCGAGTCACTGACCACGCGAGAAATGTAATTCTCGGGCACAAGCCCCGCTTCTTCGGCAATCAAGGCTGGCCGAG